CATATGATTTATTACATCGTGGAGTTCATTTGTACAATAAATATTGAGTTCCTCTATTAAGAAATGCTTTTTTTTGGGCGTTAAATATTGGCGCAAATACCAGTAATTTGACGAGCGCAAACGTTAGTAAATCGCGTTGTGTGATTCATTTAAATGCTCTCCTCCCATAAATTTTGTGTCTGAAAGGGAAACTCCTACAAATGCATATTCAATAAGGTCAGGCACAAAAATAAATGTCCACACCTTTTTAGCACTAATCTTCACTGTGCGTCATTAGTAAATCCTGACAGTACTATTTTAACACCAAAAGACGGTTTTCGCTGGCGCAAGCTGTTAGTAAATCTGGCCCAAAGTCTCTCTCTCTCTCCTTACCTTCAAATAACTTTAATAACTTGTGAATCGTTTACTTACTTGCTTTTGACATATCTGACCGAACTACAAACTTTTCAGTGATGTCTGTGAGAAAGATATATTCACTCGACAAGCTTGCGCATCTGCGCCGCCGTGTGCTCAATCCACTCAGTGTGCTTTGCTTATCAGCTTATACAGGCGTGAACATTGAATGTTTAATATTATATTAGTTACTCACATGTACTTCATAGACATCCTTAATCTCCAATAACTCCATCCTGTTTACATGCTGTGTGATATCGATGTTTGGCATCAAAGCATTTTTATGAGTACAGGTACAGGAGTGCAGTATCGGCCCGGTGCATCCCTAAACATAACCCTACACAATTGCTGAAAAAAATGCATTAGAAATTGTTTTGGAATGAGATTGCAACACCCAAATAATCAGTTTCATAATAAAATCAGTTTCAGCAGACCATAAAGAAATTATAGTTTAGAGAAGTATTAGAAATTTCAGGAAATTGTCAGGAATGATGTGTTAAATACATTTTCTTCATGCCTGTTACGTCCCACGTTAATGAGATGTTATTTTTGTCTAGGAATATTATTGAACGCAAAAAAATTTAGCATGTGTGTATTAAGATGGTAAAGGGTTTGCAAAAGAGAGAAAAAAAAGGAAAAGACAACAAACCACTTATTAATGATAATGTTTACTTTTCTTTAAATGCAAAAGTGAAAAGCAATCCAATAATGAAAATTTACAATATTTACAACTCAACTAGTACATTTACAAACACTCTGGTGGAGAAGGAGCGAGGGAGAGATCGTCTCAGGTTACTTGTGTAACCATGGTTCCCTGAGTAGGGAACGAGACACTGCGTCCTCTAGGGGTCGCTATGGGGAACGCCTCGTCGTGACCTGTGTCTGAAGCATATATTGAAAAAACACCAACTCGTTGGCCGGCGACAGCCATGACGTCACTACCGGTGCGACTATAGTATAAATAAGCGCCGGGAGCTACACATCATTCACTTCTTCGTCTGAAGCTTGCGTCCGAAGAATGGCAAGAAACCTAGAGGATGCAGTGTCTCATTCCCTACTCAGGGAACCATGGTTACACAAGTAACCTGAGACGTTCCCTTTCTCCAATGGTGGAACAGCTAGCAGTTATTCAGCTGAGGGAGGAACACACCCAGTTCTCAATCCGAGAAGGGGGCTCGACCTGCAGCATGTTCCAAAGCTGGAACAGCTAGCAATAATTTACTTAGCTGTGGGAACAACACACCTAGTTCTCAATCCGAGAAGGGGGCTCGACCTACAGCATGTTCCAATGCTGGAACGGCTAGCAGTAGTTTACCTAGGCTGAGGGAGCACAAACCCAGCTCTCCCGAGAGGGGGCTCGACCTGCAGCATGATTGTAAAATCAGAAGGGTAAGCATACTGCAAGCTAGCCAAACA